CGGCCAACCATGGCCTAATTTATGATGACAGCAAGATCTGACTCTGTTGAAGGAGAATGTTGATAATAGGGCTCATATGTTTCATGGACAGAATCTCGTTAACCTGAACTGTTTCACCTGTTTTACCTCTGAGGGTTACCTGTGGCACATGGGAGGATTTACCTGACATAGGATGTTAATTCTTGTAATCATTTGGAATACAGTGCAGGAAGGTTTCCCCAGGGGAGATGTGTAGTTAATCTCAGCAGTGAAATGAATTGATTAGCATGGCTACTGTGTATACCCTCGTACAGGTAAGCACCTCCTTAATAGAAGAAGGGGGCGGTCCGGTAGCCTAGTGGTTAAAGCGTTCGCTCGTCACGACGAAGACCGGGGTTCGATTCCCGACATGGGAACAATGTGTGAAGCCCATTTCTAGTGTCCCCCGCCGTGATATTGCTGGAATATTGCTAAAAGAGGCGTAAATCCAAACTCACTCACTCACTCACTTTAGAGAAGAAGCGTTAATAATTAGGTCACTAGGAATTCATTGTATTGAGATAGATAGACCGATATCAATACAAGAGTATTCATTAATCAGCTGATTGTTTGTTCCCAGTTTCTGGCCTAGTAATGCAATGTGTTTGATAAGCAAATGTGAAATATAAGAATATATTATATTTAGTGTTCATTGTGCATGTGATCTATATAGTCGTTTGCTCGTGCATAATATACTATTCAAAAGAAGTTAAAGAAGACCTGATTCTTTCATACTACTTTTGTAAATCTGTCGAGACTGAGACATAATATTTGAGCATGTTTGGTGTTATTGTTCCACAGGCCCTGGTATATTGCAAGTGTTAGGTTAGGTAGCCCAGTAGTTAAGGTGTTTCCTGATGCTTAAGGTCTTGGTTTGATTTCACCTTGGGTGCAGGTTCTATGGTGATGTCGGGTCGTGGGGTAGATGAGTGGTTGAAGCATTCGCTTGACACGCTGAAGGGCCTGGGTTCGATTCCCCACATTGGTACAACAATGTGTGAAGCCCATTTGGGAAGTTCCTGCCGTGATATTGCTGGAATATTGCTAAAAGCTGCATAACACCATACTCACTCACTCACTCACTCAATAGTGATGTCAGACTTTGTGTCTCTGAAAAATGTGAAAATATATCCAAATGGTTTAAACCTCAATATTCTTGCTTGCTGATTCACAGAGTCAGATTCTTTTTCTATTTTCAATTTCAATTGCTGCAAATATTGTTGATGTTTTGAATATGACATCAAGTCTGAAAAATGACCATTTGCACACCACAAGCATGTTTTCGAACTGATTAATTGAGCGTTTGTGGGTTATTTACGTCTGCGTGTTTCGATCGAAGCGACTTCATTCCCAGTGGATTCTGATCAAAGATTCGAGAGGACTTGATTCATTGTGCCAGTCAGTGGATGATCATTGATTCTCACCTTCAGCACTGAAGAGCAGCAGCTTGGCACACCTGTAAGCAGCTTGGGGATGCTCGGATTCGCCTCATCAGTTGAAGCACCAAGTCGGTCACATGAAGAAACATCTCCTGATATTAATTACTCACAGATTACTGTGGAACATATGAGGCATGGGAGATGCCACATGGGATTTAAATGTGGCATCCAATTCTGGCTTTAAGAATCTGAATGGAATTTAGGTTAAAATCTACCAGAAGGCTGCATTCTGTCATTTTTTATCAACCGTGTTCTGAATGAAAGTTACATCTGGATCCAGCAATCCGACTTCTATGAGAAGAAAAGCAAGAAAATGTTCCTGATTTGGAATTGATTGTACACCTAGCCAAGACTGATGAGTCTAATGGCGAGTGCCATTGTGGTCATGATTGATGCAGTGAAGGCACCTTTACTCCATTGTCAGACATGGATAAAAAAGTGGAAAATCACAGCTGTCCTATGACAGTTTAATCCTATGTCGTCTAAGGTGCCACAATTTGCTGTGCAGAGTTGTGTCTCTTGAGCACACCAGAAACCTACGATTGTGAGTTTGAATCTCAGGTCGCCAATGGTTTAGTTTCTAGGTTCGACAGCACCATACATGTGCTGATTAGTTTCACCAAAGTGGTAAATATTTGAGACCTGTATCACGCCACTTTCCTTCCACATTAAGCTGAAACGTATGGACGGCCATTCGGTTAAAAAATGCAAAATTAAAAAAAGGACAAAAGTACACAATAAACGTCAAATATTATGAATAAAAACTAAATGTTACTAATAAAGGTCAAAATACAAAACAATGAGACGCCGGTTGAAAAAAATACAAAGTTGATATAAAGGTCAAAAGTACGCAATATTATTAATAGTCAAATGTTACGAAAAGACGTCATAAGAAAAGAAAGAACAATGTGTACTAAAGAACGTCAGTGAGCACGAAAGGACGTTTACAATAAAGAACGTCAGTGAGCACGAAAGGACGTTGACAATAAAGAACGCCTAGTTTAATCGGCTTGTTCCGCCGTGTATATGATAACTGAATGCATGCTGAGGTGCACAATGTATTACGTCACTCCTCGTGCACTCACCGTCTGACGTCATATATATATATATATATGTAATGTATAATGTATAATGTAAAGCATCATCACCGGCCAAGGGCCTTTTAATAAATACAGTATACTGTGTAATTTGACATCTGCCATTAGGACATGTATTTTGTATACAACCTTCAATAAACATTCGTTTAACGCTAAACTAGAATTAATCTACAATGATCCAATTAACTGTTCATGCATGGTGAACACATTGTTCTTTCTTCTCTTATGATGTCTTTTCGTAACATTTGACAATAAATATTAATACTTTCAACCTTTGTTTCACCTTTGTATTTGTCTAACCGGCGTCTGTTTGTTTTGTATTTTGACATTTATTAGTAACATTTAGTTCTCTATTCGTAATATTTGACCTTCATTGTGTACTTTTGTCCTTTTTTTCAACTTTGTATTTTCTTGACCGAATTGCCGCCCATAGAAACGCTATGATATAACTGGAAGACTGTTAAAAGTGGTGTTAAACCCATCTCACTCACTCAATCATTATTTAATGACTGATTTGAAACTTGAGCAGGTAACAAGCATAGTTAATCTTTCTGCCACTGAAATAGATGGTTATTTTTTTGCAGTTGTGAACTTGGTGGGCATGCAGCCATTTTTCTGAAGCTTACGATATGCAAGGGACTGAATCTAATTTTCCTGCATTTTCTCATTCTGTTATAAATTTCTTTTGTTGTTATTTCTTTTGTAATTACATTCTATTCATGGACAGGTATAATCAGAAGATCAATGGGGTTGTCTGTAGAGGCAGATTTTAATGAGGGTCCTGTTACACTGCTTCAATCAATAATGACTTTTGTTCGACCATTACAACAATAATAGCTTTTTGCTTTCATCATAAAAGAACTCCCTCTTTTACAAGCCACATGTGAAGTTAATGATTTCAGAGAATTTGTAATGCAATGGTTTGATTGTGTCCAATGAGGCAAAATGGACATTATGAAAACATAGAAATTGGTGGTTGCTTGATTTGATTAGATCCCTAATCTGGCGTGTGTATTGCATTATGAGTGCTGTGATGGAACAAGATTGAAGGGTTGGTATTGCAGGACTAACGTTTAGAAATGGCATTGATTGTTCACATGGTTGTATAGGTAAATCTGTCTTCCTTTAGATGATTAGCTATGGTAGTTGACAACATGTTACGAGAGGTGAATGAGAGCCCCTGGAGGGAATATGTTCTTTAGGCCCTGCAGGGACTTAGTTTCATTATAAGCGATGACATCTTGAGGGCTGCTAGAATCAAACAAGACATTGTTGGCCTTTGGTTGGGAGGTGAGTTGGTTAGGCCATATGGGCTGGGGAATAACTGTCTTGGGCCATATGGGCTGGGCAATAACTGTCTTGGGCCATATGGGCTGGGCAATAACTGTCTTGGGCCATATTAGCTGGGGAATAACTGCCTTGTGTCATATGGACTTGGGAATAACTGCCTTGGGCCATATGGATATTGGAATAACTGCCTTGGGTCATTTTGGCTGGGGAATAACTGTCTTGGTCCATGTGGACTAGGGAATAACTGTCTTGGGCCATATGGGCTGGGGAATAACTGTCTTGGGCCATATAGGATGGGGAATAACTGTTTTGGTCCATGTGGACTGGGGAATAACTGTCTTGGGCCATATGGACTGAGGAATAACTGTCTTGGGCCATATGGGCTGGGCAATAACTGTCTTGGGCCATATTGGCTGGGGAAAAACTGCCTTGTGTCATATGGACTTGGGAATAACTGCCTTGGGCCATATGGATATTGGAATAACTGCCTTTGGCCATATGGACCGGGGCATGACTGCCGTGGGTCATGTTGGCTGGGGAATAACTGTCTTGGTCCCTTTGAGCTGAAAGATAATTGCCTTGGGCAATATAGACTGGGGCATGACTTCCTTGGGTCAGGAGGGCAGGGAGATAACTGCTGTGGGCCATGTAGGCTGAGAGAATTGGGGCATTTGGGCTTGGGAAGAGGTTTCTTAGGTCATGTGGGCTTGGCTTAACACAGTGCAATTTCAATACAAAAGGTTGGCCATGAGATGAGATTTATGACAAATATGGATGTCTCTGAAATGGAAGCAGTGAGATTATGACACATATGGTTAGTCCTGAGATGGAAGCAGTGACATTATGACACTATATGGCTGGTCCTGAGATGGAAGCAGTGAGATTATAACACATATGGTTTGTCCTGAGATGGAAGCAGGGAGATATAGAGTGCCTTCAGAGAACATCTTCCTGACTGGAATTGAAAAGCTTCACTATCGATATGAGAAGTGTATTGAAAAGCAGGGAGATTATGTTGAAAAATAAAATTAAAAACACTTTCACATCAGTTGGTTTTGTTTGTTAGGCTTAGAACTTGTTGACCAGCCCTTGTATGACACAAAAGGTTTTTGTTGTGATGGAGACATGGAGATTATGCTGTGTTATTGTGTTGCAGGTACAACACACATGGCATGGTGACAGTTGACACACAACGTATTGAACAGGAACATGGCATCATCCAACATCACAGCAGCGGGAATACTTCCCTAACTACATTCCAAAACTCATCACAAACCTCTGTTGGTATGTATACCATTTACTAATGAAATGTATTTATACAATATGACATTTGTAAAATATTTATTTGATATTATCATTATAAATTGCAGCACTGCAGCTACAGTGGTATTTGTTGATATCCCATGGTAAAATCTCCATGAAACGGAAATTGTTATGTACATGTGAATACAAGAATATTAACCAATGGTAAGATGTGTTCGAGGAAGCAATTATGCCATAGGTCTGTTGCCAGAGATCGGAGCCTCATTAATATTGCAAAAAAGGGAAGCATTTGAGTGTCTGTGATGAGAATGTGGTGAAATATTGTAATGTTAGTATGATAATTATTGACTTTGTAAACTTATTAAGATACTTTTGTGTGTTTTCTTTCAGAGCAAGATATTGATATGCTACAGGAGAGTGGGGCGGGCATGAAGAGGGGAGACAACTCTGAGCAGCGTCACTTTGAATCCGACTGGCCTGTGAAGCGAGATTCAATCTCAGGTTAGAATGCATGGATTGATCTATTTACACAGTAGGTTATGATGCATGAAGATTTATTATGACATTGAAGCTAATATATTTCTAATACAATATTTGAAGCTTATTATTCCTAACTGTTCATATGTTGTGTTAGAAGTACACACTCTTTAAAACTGGTTTTTTCCCCATTTCCACATTACTACAGGAGCTCTTAGTCTTCATTGCTTTTTTGGAACCAATATATTAAATCATGATCTGTACATGTGTTCAGTATTGAGAGACGCTTGTGAACTGAACTGATATCAATCAGTGTGTGTGATATCTTATTTCAATTAAAAATGTCCTTTAAACTATCAAGACTTTCAAATGAACGATGAAACATTTACATAGTAGTTAGGATGTGTGTATATTTAATATGGCATGGAAGCTAACAAAAGTACAACTGAAGATTGGGGATTATTCAGGATTAATCTTGACCTGCTCAGAGGCTGATAATCAGCAATATCTGCAGCCAATGTCGGAAAACTTCCCAAATGGAATGATACATTTCCCCATTTATGTAATTATATTTATATTGTCGGATCATTGACAGCCATGTTTATTGCCATTTCTCACGCTATAACAAGGGTTGTGGCATTACACTGATATCGTACATACTCAGATGATGGCCTGATTTTAAGATAATGTTGTCCTTTATAAGTGAGGGAGATGTTTTACAGTTGTTCTTGTGATTAGCGAGAAAACTACAAATGTCCTTAAGCGTCCGACAACCCATAACACAGGGATAACTAATTTGATAGCTTTGAAGAGGTGACTTGTGTTTCAATGAGAATAGAACCAATGTTGAAGAAGTGGCTTTAATACTTCGTTTTGACATTATTGCATTAAGTTCAATATTAAAATACTAAAATCCTAATTTTGAACATTTCCTAATTTGCCTGCTAAGGTCACTTTGTTCGAAATAATGGATGAACATCTAATATTAGTTTTAAGTGTTTATGTTTTTTTGTATAAAATATGAACCAATGAAATATGTACCATAAAAATATGATATTTATTAAATTATTTGATTTGTATAGTTAGATAGTCTAGCTGCTGTGAACACTGTGTCACTCTCATGTTTCTGTTTACAGATGGTCCAATGGTAGCATGTGATACTCGCATGGAGCAGACCATTGATCGCATCTTCCAGGAGCGACAGGCACATCATGACATGATTGAGAGTATCGTCGGTGTCCCCATGTATGATGTTAGTGCTGAGGTTGATGACTGTGACGACTATGGCAGCACAGATGAGGGGGTCAGGTCAAGGCCATCCTCATTTATTCGTGATGGATCTGAGTCGGACATACAGGAAGACTTCACACAGGATCCTCAGTGCATTATGGGTAAATATTAAACTTACTAAGCAACAAGTAATACAAGGAGACATCAGCAACTTTTTTCAGAATGAGGTTGAATGTGTTTAAACTCAGCAGTGTTCCAGCTATCACAACAGCCTGTAAATAATTGAGTAAAGGCAAACCAGTGGTCGACAGTATGAGCAATTATGCTCACATTCAGCCATGACACTCATATTTCAATAGTCATCTGTTTGCAAGACCTGTGAAGACATGGGGTAGAATAGGTATTCAGCAACCCATGCTTGCTCTAAAAGGCGACTAATGAGAATGGGTGGACAGGCTTGCTGACTTGCTTGATGCATGTCATCGTCTCCCAATTGTTTGGATTAATGCTCATGATGTCAATCACTGGATTGTCTTGTCCAGACTCGATTATTTACAGACCACCATCATGTAGCTAGAATATTGCTGAGTGCCGCGTTAAACAACAAACAAACAAAACATCTGTTTCAACAAGCATGGGATAACACTCGGGACAAGACCTGCAAAGAAATGCTTTGATTTATATAAATTTTCCTCATTTGTAGGCAGACTTGTCAGATGGAATGTGTTCTTGTACCCAAAAGGCATGGATCGTTGCTCATGATATCATTCACTGGATTGTCTGAGCCAGACTCAATTATTTACAGGCTGCTGCAATATTGCATTAAACAACAGACAAACAAGCAAATAAACAAACAGTACTTGTTGAACAGATGTTTTCTTGTTGTGATAACATGCTTGCTCTTGGGATTCCTCCCACTTTGTGCAGGTCAAAGGGAACCTCCTTGTGGGACACATGGACCTTATATTCCTACCAGTTCTTGTCTAAAGATTGTTCTTGCTGAAGTCCAATGTTTAAAAATTACAGTGCTTACGCTGTGTAATAATAGGATATACTGTCACATTAACGAAACAATCACAGCTGCTGTTAGCAAATATGCTCATTTGTAACATAGCAATTTTTGCCAAAGATGTAGATTAAGATTTGGCGCAGGGTCCCACCTTTGTTTTTTTCTCAATCCGGACAGATACCTGTTTCATCTTTTAACCTTTTGTCAACCCAAGTGGATCAGCCAGGCTACAGATCATCCTGTTCTGTGAAGCATGCGGTGTCACAACTTATCCTATGTTATATACTGGACAAAAAAAAGTTAGGGTTCATGAATATTTTGGGGGATTTTTGTTGTTGTGAAGAAGTTTCTTTAAATGTGTGCGGTATATAAACAAATTTCATGATGCCAAATTTTGTTTGTTCAGTCAAGATACACTTCAAACTTGCTAAAATGTCCAATGATTCTTACCATTATTTATTTATCTATATGTCATTGGAATCCTCATTCCGTGTATATGGTAGAGGAGGCCACATGCTGGTATATGGTTCCATCTACTAGCCGTGACATTAATTTGTCACACCCCTTCAGGGCCCCACACCATTGTTTACCAGGACCAACCCCTACTGTACCCCAGCAGTTGGCATGGACCATCACTGGTAGTGAAAGTGCCCCCTGGTGGAAGCCAGGAGAGTCAATCATGTCTGTGACCGTGGCTTCTGATAAGTCTTGGGATTGGGAGTTATTTTTAGCACTGCTAAAGATTGGTGTGATCAGAGCCTTGTGTGCCAACTCACTTTCATTCATACTTGAACATTTTCGAAGAACGGGGAAAGAGGGAGAGAGACAAAAAGCCAAGGCGTTGACCCATCTCTACAAGAAACAGGCCAATCTTGCACTCTGTCACTGGTATCAATTGTTGTGGCACTCCAACAGACATAAGTTAGTCTGTAGTTTACAAGTATATGCTTTGGATTTGCAGAGGGCACATTGAACCAGCTTCGGGGCCTGAATGATGGCTTACAGAGGTACAGGGATGCTCGGGTCCTCAGTCTGCGACTAAACCAGGTCAGTGACCAAAACTTAAACAACTTCTGGCCAGTTTCCACTGTTCTGCTGTTGTTGAAAACACACATACTTACAATTCACTGTTGCTATGTTACGCACAAACACATGCTCTGGTTGTCAGTTGGTTTTCAAATTTAAAAATGGCATATTGTTCTTCAAGTAGATGTTTGCACCCCATTTCTTGTCTTACAGACCTATTTAGGAGGGTGTTGATATACATGTCAGTGATGAAAGAATGCAGGCAGCCTGTTACCTACATTTTAATTTTTTCATTCATACACAGTGTTTGAAAGTTTTTCTGTAAGAGAACATTTGATGCCTTTAGCAAAATGTTCTGTGGGAACGGCTGCTTCTTGTATTTGGAATGAAAGAACTCCATGCTTATACTGGTTTGCAAAGTGACAAAAGTGAGTGAGCTATGTTACAAACTTAAGCTTGTTTATGAAGCAATGAACTATTTGTATGTTTGATAACTACAGTAAAAGAGGAAAATACTAATGCATCATTTATGAATATATCGTCAACAACTATTGATTTGATTCATTTGAAACAAGTTGACTTAATTTCTTTAAATTATTGCATTGTGAACTAAAACCTTCTTTTTAGAATTATGAAAAGTATGATTTGGTCAGAAGACCACATTATGAAAACTTATAAGTTAGTTAATTTTTTAAACTTTTGGCATTTTGTTAACTTGGGGTTTACATATTTCCCCAACTGGAGCACAAGGCCATAAGCAGAGTAATTAATAAATTAAATTTTAAATTTTATCTTATTTGTCCTTCGGGTCAATGTGTGATAGGTCAGGAAGACAAGAAATTCACTTTGACAGAAAAATGTAAATAGAAAAAAGTTAAGCCATAAATTATGAAATGTAGTGCATGTTACCTTTCCTTTGTAACTATGTTGCCAATCAGAGACTTAATTTGGTTCTGTCAGAGTTGCGACTGGCCACCTGAGAAACAGGAAAGTACTAACTACCTTCCTCATGCAACAGACACACTCATCACCAGTGGCTAGAAGAGTGACGGGGAGTTTTCTAGGGTTCAAAACTAAGTCACCTTTCCATTAAAGTCCCCCCCCCCCCCCCCCCCCCAGAGTGGAAGGAATGGGTGCTGTCTGTCCATCATGTTTCATTTCTCCGGAGCAGAACTCAAAATCCATGAGAGATATCTTTACCAAACTTGGCACATAGATAGGCTTTGTGGTGTTTCCATGGCAGCGACTCAGACTTGAACTGAAAATGGGGGCAGTGGTTGTTTCTGGAGCAGATCTTGAAAACCATATAATACACACAACCGGACATGCCTTATTGGCGGGGGATATGAGTATTTCATGTTTGTTAATCCTGGAATCAGTGAAATACAGGTCATTGCTGCAAAGACATAACAATAGTTGTAGCTGTCAACTAATTAACTATTTACATTAATTTGTAATTTTTGGGTTCAAATGTGGGGTTCCAATATCGGGCTCTGAGCAGGGCCCTGTTGCACATAGCAATCATAGCGCTACAACAGTCGTAAGTCTATGTTAAAGTATGGGAGTTACGATCACCTTAGGGCTACGATCACTTTTTGGAACAGAATCCAGGTCTAAATAGATCCCTGTGTGACCAAGATTCCTTTACCTTTTATTAGCTCAATTTTTTGGCAAGCGCTAAACAAGGTCGTATGGTTTGAGGTTTGAGCTAGGTATCTAGATACGATTACCTGACAAGTCGTCGGTGCAGCAAGTTGAGAGAACTGCTACAGCATACAGTTCCCGATAAAGTTGGTTTATGTGTAATGAGCTTGGTAGCCAGAAAATATTGCCACAGGTTCTTTAACGGAAATAGATGTTTAATTTGTGAAGAAACATGCGTGTTGATTTCAAACCAGCTGTTGCTTGTATATATGTGAGGATTGAATGAGGAGAGCTGCAGAGATGGTAGTGGAATCTGATAACAAACTTAATGGGTCCTACTGTGTTGGACTGTACTGGAGTTGGTTATTGAAATTGAGTTGAATAACATATTATTGAAGTTTATGTGGGTTTGACAGATCTTTGGCCTAGTAATATTAGGTCATTATAGTGATGGCAATGGATTGATAGAGTCTAGCATTGACTCACTTGCTGCCATCACATGTATGGTAATGGATTTTGGTTAATGATGAGATTTTCTTGAGTTGAACCAAAGTCATGGCAACAGAAGAGAAGTTGAGGAAATGTTAGAATGGTAGAGTGCTGTTGAGTGACATATATAGTGTTTAAGTTTCATGCGCAAGAACTTTGTTCAGTTCTCCAAATTGGTCAAATTGTCTCCCAGACCCTAGAGAATAAATAAATAAAAGAGTCCAGCTCAAGTCTAGAGTGGCTCTAGGAAATAAAGGATTGTTCTGGGTTACTTATAAAAAAAAATTATATTCAGTAAATATAGTTTTTTAGGTAAGAAAACTTTATTTCTGGGACTAAATGTCAGTCTTGTGTGTAATAATAATAATAATAATAATAATAATAATAATAATACATTTCAGATTTGTTGGTCTGCATTATGACCACTAATGGTGCTTGCTGCTATACCTGATCATTTACACTCCTAAAAAAATCCTCATGATCATGTAAAATACAAAACCATATAAACAAGGATGAGGATTTCAGTTGAAAGTTGGGTATTTGAAGCAGAAAATGGTATGTCAAATTTGAAACCCTATTAAATGGGTAAGAATTTCAGTTGCTAATGAACGGGATGAAATCGTGGATATTTTGAACCGAAATATGGTATTAGCAGGAAGCTGAGCGTATGAGAGTATGACTCATGGTGCAGTGGTTCAGTCCCGTGCCGTTGTGAATGTGTAAAACAGAATGCTGCAATACAGGAAGTGTGTGTTTTTAGTGTTGGAGGAACAGAGATGATGGAGGTGGAGATCTTTTACACGAGTCTGTGAGCACTGTGTCAGACTTGAAGATGTGTCCTGCTGGAGAGTTGATGTTGGTGGTTGCTGCTTACACGGAACTCATGCTTGTGTCTTGTCGCGAGGCTGACCGGACTTATTTACACTTCATTGGAACACTTTAGCCTCATAAGAGTTTTACATTATTAATATACTGCTCAAAAAAGGTAAAGAACATCCGATTTGGTGTTCTTTATATGGCTGTGGTTAATCTGTCATGCCAGATTAATTTCTGTAATATGAAAGAATATGGTGTTCTTTAACTTCTTTTGGGTAATATATCATTCTGAGAGTCATCAGTCAGCCAGAATGCCCCAAATTGGAAATTGTTGATATGGTTTAAAATTGACCAACTTGTTTTCTTAATTGTTAATTACGCATAATTCCATTAGCAAGATAAATTAATGTACTGCTTCAACAAGTTGGCATCGAGTAGACTTGCTGCTACATAAATGTGGATCTTGGTTAAGAGATATTAAACTGTCATGGTAGGGTAGATTATCCCAAATGCTTTGAAAGATGTAGGATAACATAATTGCATTTTTGAAGCAGCTACCCAGGGGGGTATTGTGTAACTGTTGAATATGTAAATATGATGTTCTGTAAGTATTTCTGAAGCAGTGGTGGTTAAAACCAGAAGTAGGTCTGAGGTCGACCTTGTGAGAGTGTAAGTGTGTTGTTGTGGGAGGGAAGCTGTGTGTGTGTGTGTGTGCCCTCCAGACCATCACTGCCAGGGTGAGGAGGCCGCTCTCCCTGGCTGGCTGTACATGTGGACAGGGGTGGTGCTGGGGGCACATCCACAACATGTGGAGTGGGGGAAGCCAGGGAGGAGAGGGCAGGGATGTAGATGGAGAGAGGGAAGTCGAGGGACGAGGGAGGGAGAAAGGAAGGTAGTGGATGAAAGAAATGATGTGTCTGGGGATGTGTGTGTGTGTGTGTGTGTCTGTGTGTGTGTGTGTGTGTGTCTGTCTGTCTGTCTGTCTGTCTGTCTGTCAGTGTGATGCGGGTTGGAGGATGTGGATGTATAAGATTCATATGTGTGTTTTTATGTTATTCAGGGCAATAGTGGCGTATAAATGTTTTGAGGAATGTTGTATGGTTTGTGTGTGGGGATGGGGGTAGATTTGAAGAAATAAGGCAAAATGGGGATGAGGAATATTTGTGATTGCATTGAAGATATGTAGTGAAGGTGATTACTGGGGGGTGTTTGTTGGAAGGGTATTTACATTTGTGATATAATTGCTGATGTAGAGGGAAGATTTAACAAGACGTTGAAAACAGGATATTTCGGAGAGAATCATGTGAAATTGTTGAAAGTTGTAGGATTTTTAGAGATGAGGGGGCTGTAGGGAGGGTTTCTGAAAGCAATTTTCAAGTGGATTTAAAGAAGTTGTGGATACAACAGGAGAGGTTATCCCCAGCTATCACATATTTCATGGAAACAGGGAAGGTATCTTCAGATGAACATGTGTTGGGTGGCTAAGGAAGTGGAAAAGGAAGGTAGCTGGGGTGGGGTCAGAAACCTAGTTAGTTTTAAAGGTTAAATTACCATCAACAAGTGGGTGGCAATCTGCAATTCCTTTTGCATTTTATTCCATTTGGATATCAAGGAGGGGCATGACTGTACAAGACAATAGGTAGTTGTGGGCAACTAGGTGTTGGGTAAAGTTGGCATTCAGCCCTGGCCTTCAGTTGATGCCTTTAGCCGTTAGTGAGAGTAGACTGGTGCCTGGCAGTCTCAAGCTGGGGTAAGGAGGAGGCAGGGGTAAGTGGTGTGGATTCTCAGAAGCCGTGGACAAGGCAGTGGTCACTCAGGAGAGGGTTGGTGGTGCTCTCTTCATGTAGTACTGGGATCAAGCCTCCTCGTGAAGTACCTGCGTTAAAACGGAGGAATGTTGCCACATGGTTTTCAAAGGAGAAAGAATATGGTGTTTATATTGAAGTCCTTGCACTGTCTCAGATTTAGTATCTTTGTTTAAATTAATTTAGACTGGGTTTCCTGTGTGATGGGTAAATAGTCTATTGAAATTCTGGCAAGTCAAATCTAAATCTTTATTGTGGCAGATGTAA